TAGTGATGATTCTATTATAGAATATTTCCAACAAATGAAGCTCAAGAGGGTACATCTCTGGAATTGTTAAATGATTTTTATATGTATTATTTTGCTTTATAATACCTTAATGTATTTTGGGCTCCTTTTTTGTTTTCCAAAACAATTTTAATTAAACCAAAACTACGTCGTTTTGACCTATTTTAATTAAATAGATCAAAACTATTAGTGATGATTCTATTATAGAATATTTCCAACAAACATTTTTTGTTTTCGAAAACTATTTTAATTAAATAGACCAAAACTATGCCGTTTTGGCCTATATTTCCAACAAATGAAACTTAGAATTGTTGAATGATTTGTATATGTATTTTTTTCTTTATAATACCTTAATGTTTTGATGGTGTACGTTAACTATGAGGTGTTATGCTTCTTTAATATTTTTTATTAGTTTTATATTAATTAGAGATTAGAGATATAAAGGGGTAGGGACCCCGTGGTTCCGACTTTCTGGGTCCGCCACTGTATGTAACTCACGTTATTGATTAATGTAACTCAAGTCCATTCGAAATGTAACTTGTCAAATACATATTATAAGAAATAAAACATTGATTTCAATGTAAATAATTAAAAAAAAAAAGTCTAATTGCACAATTACTTTACGTAAATCGTGAATATGTTTTGTTTTTAATATCATGACCATCAAAAGAATTTAAAAAAAATCATCCTATTTTTTGCTTTAATACCAGCGGTTGATTTTTTTATATAACTCACGCTATTATAAATGTAACTCGCGTTGATGGCAAATGTAACTTAGGTGTATACAGAATGTAACTTGTTGGGGCAAGTCCTTATGTAACTCGCGCTTCAAAAGATGTAACTCGCTTGTAAAAAAGATGTAACTCATACACATAAAGATGTAACTCACACACAAAAAGATATAATTTCATGTACTTCGTATTATGAAATGTAATTGTGAGAAGAACAATTGTATGAGAATCCAATAGTATGTATATGGGAAGAGAAACGTCTGAATAGAGTGTGAATCCCAAACAAAATGCATTTAAATAAGGAAGATGGAGGTATATATGAATGGATCTGAGATTTTAAGCTCTGTGTATCTTCTTTGTCTGCTAACATCCGTTTCTGTAATACATATGCACTGAGTATAAGAAATTCGATTCAGTAGGGATATCCAGCAAGGAAGCTTCGTACCACCAAAGGAAATTTTTGGCCGCAGGGATGAAGCATACGCTGAACGGTTGGAGAAGACGGTGATTTTTTGTCAGCTCTGTTTTAATTAATACGGAGTATAAAACGCCGTTGTTTTGGGATCGGCACACCCTGCTCATGGTGGGCCGATCCCACGGTATAATTTGCGTCTTGTGAGCATTAGGTAATATATTACCTAAAATTGGGCTAAATTTTAGATCTTGATGTGTGTTCATCAAGGGATATTGCCTATTTCACACTAGGCAAAACTTATAACCGATTACCTTATCGGGATGATCACTACTCTGACATTTAGAGCTCTAAATAAGGTGTGATATTCACAAAGCAATGTGTCCTCAAATAAAAAGCGTTTACCTTCTTCCTAATGTGTCCTCAATTACTTTCATAAATACCGTTAAAATATTTGCTTCCCGATAATTTGGCCGATAATATTTGCTTAACAAAAATTTTGAAGGACGAAATTATCAGCCAAATGATTGATGTTTATTTTCTCTTACTTTGTAATTGTATATCACCTGAGATTCTGATAGAACCCTTCTTCTCAATCTCATGTAAACCCTAAGGCATTGTTTGGTTCAAAGGAAGGGAGGAAAGGGGAGAGTCAAGGATGGAAGGAAAGGGAAGCGGAAGGAAAGATTTTGATAAAAATTTGTGTCAGGTTGGAGGAAATGGGAGAAAATTTTAAGAGTTTTTTTTTTATAAATATTACTACTAGTATATGGGTTTACATTAATATGACTACACCTATGAAACACGCATGCCCGACTCTTAGTAATGCAGGGAAATTACATCGGTGGCCTAGAACGGTTATGAAAACAGCTAAATTTCAGGATTTCTGTGTAATCATGATCGGATAAACAGGTAACGTAGGAAGATTGTAGTCATAACATACGGAACTATGGAAGCGAGGGTCAATTCGTTTGAATCCAGAGCGAGAAATCACAGTTCGAGGGGAGATTATTTAATTTGATGTTCCGAAGGTGAAGAAGAGGCGGATTTTGCAGATTGGCTCCTCTGTTTGTGAATTACTTGAGCATGAATATGATGTTCTTTGGTTTACGGTTGATATTATTCCAGTAATTAAGATTGAGAAATGAATTTGAATCATGAATTGTGGAGTTCGTTCATAATTTTTAGAGCATGATAGAATAGTAATGACGTCTGGTAATGAACCAAAAGGATGTTTCTACTAACGTAGAGATGGAGCGGTACTGATTGTGTAGTGAGACAGTTGTATGGTTAGTAATTAACAAGATTGTGATCTACGTTCATGATTTTAAGATTGTGGTCTACATTCATGAGTTCATGCTTTTAAAAAAGTGAGATTGCAGTCAGGAAATGGGGTAATGAATCAATAGGCTGGAAATATTTTGGTAAAGTTGTTGAGATTGTGAAGTAATGACTAATTTCTAAGTTCCAGCAAGTAAATTTGAGACATGGAAGTTAATAATGAATTCTGATTACCGATCAAGCGTGAGAGACAGTTTCGTTGGAAGAAGGAAATTTCAAGACTGTTACAGGCAAGGTTTACGCAAGGTCAAATACGGAATAATTAAAAAGCACTTAAACGAGTTTTGATCAGTGGTAATATCATTGTAAATAAGGTTTAAAGGAGTAATATTCTTGTAATTTATTCAAATTTTAATGAAAATATTTTCCCAATTTATCTTTATTTGATAGCTTACTTTAAAAATTAGATACATATCTAACTATTATGAATATTACTCATAAGGTCATGAGTCATAATATATATATATATATATATATATTGAATTTTTTATTTTTTTCATATTTATAGACCTTATAATTTTTTTTAATTTTTAATTTTTTGATTTTTTAGTTTTTTTATTTTTTAACATTTTTTATTTTTTACATTTTTTATATTATAACGTTTTATCCATTCACACAGAAGAAAAATGATGAATAATTTGTCGTTATCAACATGTATCCTCCTAAATACCCCTATTTGGGGGTTGAGAATGAGAGTAAGTGGAAGATTTTGGAAGCTTTCAACTTTCATCCCCTTCCCCTCTATGGCTCTGTTTCCTTCAACCAAACACACAAATCACCCACTTCCCTCCCCTCCCTTCCGAAATCCTCCAACCCACTTCCCTCCCCTCCCTTCCGAAATCCTCCAACCCACTTCCCTCCCCTCCCTTCCGAAATCCTCCAACCCACTTCCCTCCCCTCCCTTCCAAAATCCTCCAACCCACTTCCCTCCCCTCCCCTCCGAAATCCTCCAACCAAACATAGCCTACTAATTTGTTTAATTTGTTAGAGCCAACGATGGCTTACAGAAAGACACCATCCGACAATCAACAATTCTTTCAAGAAGAAATCATTCTCGATTTATTATGCTAACGTTCTCGTACATACTACCCGGCGAAAAAAAATGTTTGAGTTTCAAATTTCTAGCATCAAAACCAATTGTTTGGGACATTTCATATGCTTATTTTTTCCCGTGCATGTCTTTCTAAGCAACTAGTCACTTTTTTGTCCACGTAATTATTACTAGTAATATTCATGTAAAAAGCTCTTTATTCATTTATTGATGTTTATTTATTTCTATAATTCATATTTTAATTGATGGTAAAATAGGGATTAAAAATGTCAGTGTAGGAGAGGGGAACTAAAAATGAGAACGATAACGTACAAATATTATATACTCCGTATTATACATTTATTTGAAAATATAAATTTTATTTTTAGCTCAAGTTCGAGCATATTTGTTGAGCTCAAACTTGCAAAAATTATTTAGTAAAACTCGACCGAGCTCAAGTTGAGCTTGATCGAGCTCAGCTCGAGCTCGATATGAAACTATCAAATTCAAGCATTACCATATACATTGTTCTAAAAGTCGCTCTAGGCGCCCGACTAGTCCCCGCCTAGGCGCTAGGCGGTGGTCGGGCGCCACGATTTTTGTCTAGGCGCTCCGACTAATTAGTTTGGCGTATAGGTGAATTAGTCAGCCGCTTATGGCGCCTAGTTGCCCACCCAAAGCGCCTAATCTCCGCCTAGAGCGTCTAGATTCATCAAACAATTTTTTTTAATTTTCTTTTTGTAAGAGATATATGTACCTTTAACTTTAATCATGAATATGAAGATGGATACTTGAAAAGTAAGATAAAAACTATATATGTTTGTATATATATTCTTAAATTTTGTTATTATTTAATATTTATAACATAATTGTAGTTAAGTGATTAGTTATCATATATTATTTCATGTGACAATTGAATCATTCATGCATGTTAATGTGTGTATATATTTTTCATACATACACAAACATGATACTACCATTTTATTATATATTACTTATCATATTTATGCAAAAATATTAATAAAAATACAATTTATGTGCCTCCGATTAGTCCTCGCCTAAGCGCCCGCCTAGCCGCCTAGGCGCTAGGCGCTGGGCTGGCGCCCGACTAAGGTCTAATGCCTTTTAGAACCTTGACTATATATGAACTCGACTCTCGCTTGGGCTCATTTAAATAGATTGTGTCTTCACTGTTTGGCATTTCCCCATACTTGCTACTTTTCCTTCAACATAGCATGCTATTTTACATGCATAGTATGGATTGATTAAATGAACGCCAATTGTTGCACACTATGCGAATTGCGGAAAGGGTTTAACAATTAAATTGACTTTGTAAAACTCAAAATCAGATTTTAGGATCATAGGCAAATGATATAGGGTGATTATCGAATGGTTAATTATGACATATACTCCTAAAAAGCAGTATCGTGGATGATATTAGTTTGGCCTGTTTGGGGAATGTGATGTAAATTGTCATTTCAATTCTAACATGAACGATGTCATCATCACTAATTATATTGAATCATTATCATTATCAAAACTCGCTACACTAAAAGCAACCGCTCGATTTAGCACTCGACATGATCAAAGATCACAACTATCGTCCGACCGTCGTGCACGGATCCTTGCATATGCTCAGCAGCTCAGACATTGTAATGACAACCGATCACCGGAAAGGAATACCACCATAAACTCAAGATCCAAACTACATAAGGTAATTAATCATTCTGATCTGATTTCAGATTTCCGATGGATAAAAATAAAGATTTGAGAATTGATATGCTTTTTGTTAGCAATCATGGAATAAAAGTATTGAACAGATCAATTGTACATGATCGTTGTCTCATGAATGTAATTTATACTTCGTATATTGTAGGTATGGTTTTTTTTTTGAAAGAATATTGTAGGTCAGATTTAGAAAATAAAAGGAATAATGGCATACGTATTATCCATGGACTTCTTAACGAAAAAACATGACTATTTTTTAGTATTACAAAAATAAGACTTCTGTTTCCATCTATTTGGGCCTCACGCGATTCACCTGCAAATCGACATGTCTGCGCCAATTGACGTGCACTTTGTCGTGAGTGCACTCAAAATAAATTCAACACTAGCACTTATACGTAGTATAGGTGAAGTAGAGTTCGTATCCACAGGGAAAGGAATAACTCTTCTTTTTATGTAACTAGTAAATAAAGGGGGATTTTGATCGAGTGATTTGATTAAAATTAAACACGAAGATGAACGAGTTATATGGGATTTAATTCAAAGATAAAAGTGACTTGGCATTGCTACTTTCCACTTGTTGATATATTTTAGTCGATCATTGTTATATCTATAACTTATCTCCTCTCGAATACTCAATCGAGGAGTATATCCAATTCATCGAGGATAGTTATTAACAACGACCGTTCATTAATAACCCTTACTATTAGTCGAGTATAGAACAACGCCATATACCGACTTGATAGTAGCATTTAATCTTTTAACTCCTTGATGAAATCAATTGAGATTGATAACCTCAACACAACGGTTTCGGTTTAACCAACAAAATTAATCCCTCTTCAGTTTATTAACCACGACCGTGCATTAATAAATCGAAGTTACTTACTTGTGAAACTATCAACGATTAACCATCGGTTCGTTGATCGTTTCTAGTAATAATTAATATGTGAAACAAAACTAGTTGATCCTTTAAGTAATGTTCAAAATATTAATATGAAATATGAATAGAGATTAATTAATACTCAAGGAAGAATATTAAAGAAGATGAATCCTACTATGGTTAATATCAAGATGTTAACTAATTGTCATCTTAGTAACACTCCCCGATATTAACATAGAGGAAGGAATAGCTATTACTAAAACCAATGTCAAGATGTTAACTAATTGTCATCTTAGTAACACTCCCCAACATTGATATAGAAATAGTATTTAAAGGAAGAATTAATATTCAAGGAAAAGAAATTAAGAAAATAACTCACAACTTTAATAATCAACAAGCTTCAAGAGCAATACCAAGAAATGGAAGTTTAGCTCCTCATTTGGAGACTAAACATGCTAAAAGAAATATAGAGAAATGCTATTCTAAACTGAGCTTAAGAGTATAAAGGAATTGGTGTCCTAAAGTGAAGGAAAGGAGGTGTATTTATAGGCTTTTTGGAGTGCAGGCCGAGTACTCGATCGAGTATGTACATATACTCGATCGAGTATGTGTAGAAACCTGAATTTGGTCAATACTCGATCAATACTCGAGTAGATTTTATATGTATACCCGATCGAGTATGTCGGTGTACTCGATCGGGTATGACAATAGAACGTGGCCAAATCTTTCCTTGCATGTTCTTTTGTTCCCGGATCGGATCCTTGAAAATCAGTATTGGTACTCGATCGAGTATAAGGTATACTCGACCGAGTATACCCCAAAATCAGGAGTTTTTCCTTCTTTTTGTCTTCTACTCTTGCACCCTCCTTCACCTTTGATCATTTGATTGATCTTGGACCTGTTTAAGCTCAGAATGAACCTAATCTAAACAAATTACAAGAGTTTAACAAACTAAACTATTACACCGAAAGTGTGTAATTTCCGAAATATTAAACAACCAAAACTAGCTAAAAACGTAAATAAACACACGGAAATTACAAACGTATCAACTCCCCCACACTTAGTTCTTTACTCGTCCTCGAGTAAAGTCAAAATGTTTCAAACAGTTTTAAGATCATTCCATGAGTTCAAGAAAGAAAGGAACTAAGACCACCAAGAAATACGAAAATGATTTTACAAAACAATATTTTTTCTTGGGTTTTATGATCTTCTATGCTCCATCTTCTTGCCTCTTCTTCTTTGCCTTCTCCTCTTTCTCTTCAAGAGATCAAATGAGTTCCTGCACACAACAAATACTTCTCTCATATCTCTCATTTTGCCTAGGAGCCTTTTCAGGTTTTCATCCTAGCATCTCTTTTCTTTTCCTCTCTCACCACTCACTCATTTTATTTTGTACGCCTTTGTTGCTTAGATTGCCCATTTTGTTGGGTTTTCAACCTAACTAGCATTTCTTTTCTTTTATTCTTTTTTTTTTTGTGTAACTTATAGTACAAGAGAATAATGCTTAGTACAAGGTAGAAAAAACAGTAAATGGAACATACCAAAAGATGTAGTCCTCCCCCACACTTAGTTTCGCACTGTCCCTAGTGCCCGCCTTCTCCGCCGTAGTAACTGCCTCCAAAGCCGCTTCCAAAGCCTCCTCCAAAGCCCCCGTCGCCCATGTGAGCATCCCCGCCGTCATAACCTCCACCCCCGGAGCTAGATTCTCCAAAGTTACCCCATTGAGATGGGTCATACCAAGAGGGTGGTGGGGGTGGCTGAGCCATAGTATGGAATTGGCCTTGTTGAGCCATGTAAGAGTACATAGCTCCATAGAACCTACGTTGGTCTTCTTCATAACGCCGGTTATCTTCTGTCCTTTGCTCTTCTAGCCTTAGAAATCCAGCCCGTTGTTCTTCCCTATATCGGCCAACTTCTTCGGTTACCTTGTTGAAACCATCAAGGAGTTGTTGGAAATAGTCGGGAGGTGGTTGAACTTGGGGTTGTTCGGGTATGTGGTCATGAAGGGCTTCATGATGGTGGGCTTGAGGTTGGTCTTCGGGTTGATTTTCTGGTTGGTTTTCGGCTTGAGGTTCTTGCAAATGTGGTGGAATGGCATTGGGCAACAAATAATGAGGCATATCTCTATTGTATAGTATCTTGGGGATGTTTGGGTTGGGTAAGGTAAAGTGCCGGATGGGGGGCGGGTGTATATGCCAATTGTACACGTTATAGGAGTGGTCATACTCATACACCGTACGAGAGAAGGATATGCAATTCGCATGGGTTAAAAAACCAATGTCCATCAAACAATAGTCGGGTATAGGGGAGTTGTCCCTATACCCAAACTTGGTGACCAAATGCATAATCACTCCTCCCACAACAATCTTGCCCTTAGCCAAACTTTCCTTTTTGAGATGTGCCCACATTAAATTGCACAAATTAAATTCTGTGGTGCGCCGAAATAAAACCTGTGTCATCAAGCACACATCTCCTATCCTCGTGTGGTGATTGTTGGGGCGCCCAAGTATACAATTCGCCATGAATTTTAAAAAGATTTGGAGAATGGGGTGTTGGACATGGCTTATGTATAGCTGGGAGGAGTTAAATTGTAACTCTCCCGTCATTCTTCTCCAAAGTGTATGACCATCTCCAGTGCTATCGGGAATGGTTCTCTCATGTGGAACCGGGATGCCGAAGTGGTCGGCAAATTCATGTTTCTTGATTGAATAGTGTTGATTAAAAAGACGAAACGAGAGTGTGTCGTCCCTAAAATCCTCCTCATTGGTTTCAAACTTAGCCGAACTCAAGAACTCATAAATAATTTTTTCGTTTGAGTTGTATTGCATATAGAAAATGCGTTCCATATTCAACTCACGAAAAAATTTCCTAGTACTCTTAAAAATTCCCAAAGTACGAAGTGCTTCATGGCAAAGAAAACGAGATGGTTTAACTTGCCTTGCAATGGTGGAGAGGAGTCTAGTTCGGTGTTCGGCGTCGGCGGGAATGATGTCCTCAAAGCCCGGGATTGGTGCTATGGTGCTTGAGCTCTCTCCCCTATTCCTCCTTGGTGCCATTGTTGATGGTTGGAGCTTGACAATCCAAATAATTCGAAAATGGGGTAGGGTTTCGGATTTTTGGGGATTTCGGGGGAAAATGGGATTTGTTGGTAGATATGTGTAGAGGAGAGTGAGGGGAGTATTTTGGTGGTGAAATGGGATGATTTGGTGGATAAATGAGGGAGTTTTGGTAGAGAGAAGGTAGAGAAATGGAGTTTTGGGGGAGAGGGTTTCGAAGTTGGGAGTGTTTTGGGGAAGATGAAGTGAAAATGGGTGTTGTTTGGGTATTAATCGCAGGGGTACCCGATCGAGTATCCCTGTATACCTGATCGGGTACCGGAGGCAGGGGATAGAATATGGGTGTTTTCTGAGCATACTCGACCGAGTATCAACTTATACTCGATCGAGTACTGGAGGCAGGGATGAGATAAAGTGCTCTTTTTCTTTATACTCGACCGAGTATTAACATGTACTCGATCGAGTACTGGAGGCAGACTTTTTTGTTCTTTTTATTTCAGCTCATACTCGACCGGGTAAAGAAATATACCCGATCGAGTATGCCTCCATTTTTGGAAATATATGGCTACTTCGATCGAGTAGTGCCTTGGTTCCTTTTTTTAGACAATACCCGACCGAGTATGAGATGGTACTCGATCGAGTATGTCCCCAGACACTTCAAAACCTGCATTTTCTTTTTCTTCAAAACAAACATGTGATTAGTTCCCTCCCTCTCTTTTCTCTCAAATTCACACAAAAAGGAAATAAAATCTAACTAATTGACTTGGGTTGCCTCCCAAGAAGCGCCTTATTTAACGTCGTGGCACGACGTTTTATTTATTTATTTTTTTTTTTTTTATGTGGGATCGTGAGCATCCCTTCCTTCATTTCTTTTCTTTAGCCTTTTCCAGTAAGGCCGACCTTTCTTCTTTGTTCCCGACTCAATTAAAGCATTTGGCGTTGGTGGTTCAAAAACATTTAAAGAGCAAAGAGATTGATCTTTAATTTGTTTTTTCGTAGAGTCAAAGATATTAAACTCTACTTTTTGGTCATTGAACTCTAAAGTTAATGAAC